TAAAATAGGTGACACCACATTTCCTTGTTCAATTGTAGACATGCTGTTCGAAGGCGAAGAATACGCAGTAACAGTCGTGGCAGTAGAAGTGGCAGTACAATATTGAAAAGGTGAAAATGAATAAAATTGTTGAGTATTTTCCATGGGAATACTACCATTGATGACATTTTTCAAAGCTGAAACCATAACAGAATACTCTTCTTCTCCAGTAAGCCGAGGAAAGTGCGGAAACTGTTGGTTATTTTGGTCTGTATTCGACGTTCCGTCTTCTCTAAATCTCTTATTTGACCTTTGCATGGTTGAAAATCTTGAAACTTAGAATTTTTTTTGACTTGAGTTCTGAAATACAGAGAGAGGTCAAAGGGGGAGTTATTTATATACGCGGGAAGATCCTACGTGGAGGGACAGCTCATACACTTTTCAAACACGGAGTAGCATTTTGAGCTTAGCTGGCATAGTAATAAGTGATTCTTTGGCAGTTTATCAGGTGATGTAATTGATGACTTGATCTGCTGGGGCGCGTTCACACCTTACTTTTTTGTGGGTTGAGGCCTGGATCGCTCTGACGGTTACATTTTGTGTAGAAGATACTTTTCGGGTCCCTCTAGCCACTTAATACAGTTTTTCGGGAAAAAATATATTAGCCTGATTTATAATTAATAATTGAAAAATAGCTAAATGTATAAAAGTAATCAAAATTTAATTTTTTTTTTATGTAAAGATATAATTTGAACAAAAATATCCTTAATACCCGCAAATATTTTAGCATAATATGTTGGAATCTAATTCTTTACATATGAGATTTCAATATAATATGCTGGAGTTCCACCATAATATGCGGGAAGTTTAAATGGAGGAGCTCCATAATCTACCATATTATGCTGAAATTTTTCGTGCCGGAGTTCCAATATGCTGGAAGTTTATACGTAAGAACTCCATAATCCAGCATATTATACTGAAACTTTTCGTATTTCAACAATACAATGATTATTTTTCAATAACTTTGCAAACCATGACTATTTTTTTATTAATAATCCAAAAACTGATTAGGTCGTACTATTTTTACTAGTTCTCCCCTCTATATCAAGAGTTATAGGGAGATGAATAAATTTCCTTCACATTTAATGAGAGGTATCATATTCAAACCTTTGGTTTGAAAAAATTCAATGAAGAAGCCTTTAAATGAGTCTTATGCATGAAGCTGTATTAGTCGAGCCTCAATTATATAGGTACTTGACATTGAGTGAAAAACCAAACCAAAATACGAGAGCATAAATGCTCATGACTAGTTATAATTTGAATAGAAAAAAAATATCCCAATAAAGATTTTGCGTACTTTTTTTATCGATTTTTTGTACTACTATATATAATTTTCTGTTTAGTTGTTTCAAACATAATGAAATATCTTTTAAAAAAAAATTATTTAGTCCTAACATGCCTAATTTTTTCCTTTAATGATATATATAACTTATTAGGACTCTCACTACCACTCATTTAATATGATGCTTGTATAACTTTGCATATAGTATTTGATTTATACGTCAAAAGTCTTTTTTTTAATTTCCTTAACTTCGTGCCCTAATTAAAAACTTCACATAGAATGAGACGAAAATAATACTACTAGTACATATTTTATTAATCAATTTCTTGAGAAAGGACCTATAATAAATATTAAATTTGTTATAAGGCCACTCCCGAAACCACCTCTAGTCCTCTACATTTGCGACATCTGGCTAAAGTGCAAACCACCATAGTATTCCAATAATGTCTCATCATATAGTAGGCAATTCTTCATTAACAAAATGAATAAGACGATCTGAGGCGATTTACCCAAATTAAGGTGAAAACTAAATCAAATTGTTTCACTTGGCAGATATACTCACATAGGGCAATAACTCAAAATGAACACTGTTGATTTGATCGTCCAAACTCACATATCCTAAATGCACCTTCATGCAGAGGTGGCAAAATCGTTAAAAGAAAATAGTTATCCACCCATATTATCCATTAAAAAATGGGTTGGATAATGAACTTT